GCCTCGGCGGCGCCGCCCTTGCGCGGCGGGTGGCGCTGCAGCCACAGGCTCTGCGCGCGCAGCGCCGCCGCCAGCACCTCCCTGCCACACACGCACGGGCGTTAGCGATGGACACGAGCTACTCCCAACTAGAGGAAGAGCGGGGAGAGGGAGAGGAAGAGCGGGGAGAGGGAGAGGAAGAGCGGGGAGAGGGAGAGGAAGAGCGGGGAGAGGAAGAGGAAGAGCGGGGAGAGGAAGAGGAAGAGCGGGGAGAGGAAGAGGAAGAGCGGGGACCGCTTGCAACTGCTTGGTTACCTCTACCAATATAATAACTGAAGATATGTCCATGCACTTATTTTGCCAGTGCATTCGTTTACAGTTCATTTGCAAATGGCTTCATGCACAGCAATGACATGCAGAAATTGTGATGTTAATTTGTTTTCCGAGTTGTCCAAGTGGTGCTTTCTTAGAGTAAATTCCTCTTAAATCTTTATGAAATCAGCGCTAGTAAAAGTGGACGTTCTAAACTTATTTCGTCACAACTACAAATTGACAATTTAAATGGACCGACATGTCACGGCCAAAGTCCCCTAAAATGGTTAATGTTAGAAGTTGGTTAATTTGCACATTAGATGCTGTTGGTAAGGCTGTATGAATGACTAGGATAGTTTCAAACTTTACAGGGATGTTGGTCTTGGCCCGAGTGCTGGCTAAGGAACGACGGTCCGAGTGTGCTTCCTGTGTGCTCGTAAGAGATCTGGCATACCAACGCCAGATCCAGATCCCAAGGCTGAGCGTCGCGAAGCCTCAGCGGCTTGCATAGTGTTGTTATGTCGGGTGTGTAAACATACATTATCACACGAAACTCACGACCTTATCTCGCCCTTTACTTGGAAATATTCAACCACATGTCGCATCTGTTAATCACCTATCTTCCATTTCTAGTGTCTGTAGCGTACTTACTCCAGCAACTTGTGTTTGTCAATATGATCTTCATCCGGTTCCAAGTCCGTAGTGTGCTTCAAAACTTACTACATTAAACAGTCTCTATCCATTTTCGACAATGCGAACATTAATCAACTAGTTCGCCAAATTCAGACATAAGCTTTTCATTATACCCTTTTGCCACGCATTTCCTTCAATTCTTGTCCTGTAATAATTTTATTCAGGGCGATCAGAATACCCGTGCCACTACCGCCCCTTCCCTATCCGCTCTCCTTCCCCTTTTCACTCGTCGAACGACCCACCGCATGAAAGAAAAGGCGACAGAATCGCTTTGCGGTCCAATGCCACAAAAATAACTAACCAAAAATACAGAGTATTTTATAAAACATGCTCGTAATGTCTACGTAAAAGCTAGGACTCCTAGATTTTTCCTCCAACGTTTCAGGTGTTTAAATGGATGTCTTTAATGCCGTCAGGTTTCAATAGAATTCTTACCTTATCTTAGGAGAAAGAGCTGCTGCATTTTCATTCGATACATCTTCCTTTGACTCCGCCACAAGTAACGCGTTTAACCTGCAACAAAATTATTTTCCAGAAATTTATAATTGAAAAGATTCCCTAATTCCTTTTCTGATGAACATTATTTGTTAACTGTCAAAAGCGACCAATTCTGTAAGAAATAGAGTTTCTTGAGATTAAGATTTACCTTCGCGAGAAGTACAGGAATGTAATAAAAATGTGCTTCCTACGATTTGCCACGAGAAAATGAAATACACGGAATTACCAATTTAAAAAAATAATTAACTGTCTTGACTCTGTACTTTTGGCCGGAAAAGAACAAAAAATACAGAATACATTTTGCAATAGCCCAGAGCGGAACAATTCATTTTACGCCCTGTTATATATCTACATCTATCTTGTGCATTATGTTAAAGAAAAATTAGCCTCATCAAATAGCCGCTGATCCTTGGTTTACGTAAAAAAATGGCTATTTTTGAGATGGGTCTGTTTATTATGTACGGATCATATAAATAAATTACGAAATACTCAAACGAAATATTTTTCTTTCTTCGTTTTCATATATGTATCACATCAGCTAACAGCTCCAAACAAACGCACTATTTTTATACTTTAAATTCCTACCCAGTTTTCTCTAATATTTTGAGCGAGACGTTTCCTTGAATGAACTACCGACGTCACTCAAGGTTAATGGAAAGTTATACTGGAAACGTCTATTTAAGTCTGCTTGTATAATTTTCTTCATCAGTTAATCAAAGAGATTCTTTTTTCCCCCATATCCTACGGAAACAATGTCTACTCTCCCGAAGATTTTTGGACTATTTTTTGTTGTTCTCCTCCCCACCCGGAAGTTGGTTTCGACATATCCTTTACATTCATTTTCCCTTGGGACTTACGTTCTTTTAACACGTACTAGCTCCCTAACTACATTTAGTCGGTTGGTGTTAAACCTCTCAAGTACCCTAAGTCAAGGGAAGGCGCTTCTCACCTTGAAAGGGAGTTCTTCACGGGCTGTTTATCGCTTGTGGCTCGCAAGCGACTGAGACGTCTCGAAATTTTCTTGGGAGAAATGCCCCAGTGGACCGCCATTTTGTCGTACACGAACATGCGATCTATCGCCGGCAGCTCTCGGCACGCCTCTCCCAGCCTGCAAATGACGGGGAGGTCTGCTACTGTTCGTGCATACTATACACGTGCAAGCGCACAGTTCAGAGACGTTCCGCGGGTTTGGATGTCAAAAATCATACAAACTGTCTTAAGTAAGAAAGTCAGCATTTTGAACCCCTTAGGTTCACAACTCCATTACTCGTGGAACTGAATGCTAAGAACTCACTTGAGAAGGATATCGTCCTGCTTTTCACGCTTCACATCGGCAGAATGTTTGGTAATGGCTTCATCCAAGAGCGCGACAACTGTTGGCGATAGTTGAGGCTGCTTTGAACGTTTTAAATGTTCTGCGAAAGAAGAATGACGTGTATTGGATACTTTTCCAAAGGTCTCTGAAGATGCGCGATTTTTCTTATTCATGGTTTATATTTAATATTTATGCTAGCCGTATCCAGTGTGGCAGCAATAAATTTTATACGAATATTGAGTTCCATAAATGCGGATTTTCATCAATTTCTACGATATTTCAGGTCACGTGAACCTAGCAAACTGATAAGAGACACAGTGAGGAAGTGAAATATGATCAAAGTTGCGAGTTTATAATAATTAATATTAGCGGCTTACATTAATTACTACCTAAATGGTTAAGGACGTAAAGAAAACTCACCTACGTTATGAACGCGCTTCCCGGAAGAAGCTTTATTGGCAGCTTTGGCGGACGAGGCCGACCCTCCGGTGCGCTTGCCCGTGCCAGTGTGCTTCACACTGGCAGGTTTCGCGAGGCCGTCGGGAGGGGAGGCCGGGACAGACGGCGACACGTCCGTGCTGGAGCTAGCGAAGGCCGAGTCCGGGGACCACGACCCGCGTTCAGATACCCTGAGAAGCGGACCTTCCGGCGGTGGGTCGGGCGCCGGGGGGCAGGCGGCGGCAACGGCGCCGTCAGAGGCAGGGGGCGAGCGCACGGGGCTGGTGGCGGCGGCTTCGTCGAGCGGGTTTCGCTTGCCCTTGGGACTGTTGCACAAGTCCACCATGATGATCGCCCTGGGAGACACGAGGGCGCGCTCGGCCTTGGCGCCCGCCTGCTCGCGGCTCCTCTTGGTGGGCGTGGCGAGCACCATGGCGCTGAGCGGGAGCGCGGGCGGGGGCGACCGCGGCCTGCGCGGCGACGGATGGCGCTGTTTCGCCGGCAGAGGCAAGGACGGCGAGGACGGGGAGGCCGCGGCCGACGGTCGTGGACGGCCCACCGGAGTCTTCCTGTCCAGACAGATGATCTCCATGGACTCGTTTTGGCCCAGCCTCTTCAAAAATTGAGACCATTCCTTTTGGGGAGAGTTTTTCTTCGGTTTTTCTTTCGCCTTGAGGGGTTTTGGTTTTGCTTTGGCAACACTGGCCTTCGGAGGCTGAGGTTCGACCAGCTCTATCACAGACGCGTCGGAGTTGCTCTCGGAGAGAGAACTGTAACCGGAGAGTGTCTGCGAAGGCGATTCGGATTCTGTGTCCGAATGGTCGCTGGCGTACGAACGAATCCGATAGCCCACGTATTTTAGAGAATCCGGGATTGACTCTTCAAACTGCAAAATAAAATTGTTATAATTAACGAACTACAGTTATGACTAGAGACATGCTATATGAAATACTGAAATATGCACTCAAGGTGAAGAAAAGCAAAATTTGCACAATAATATTTTTGTTTATTATTTTATTATATTTCCTTTGTGCTAGTGAACAATTAACGGTCTATATTCTACTCTGAATTTTTTTTTATCAGAACAATTTTAATGCAGGAAATTGAGTTTACAAAAAATTGGATCATACTTCAACATGAAATCTCAATGCGAGGCCACAATCTACCTTTTTCGAATACAGTGGAATCGCGCTTCCCTAATATACTTCACACCACTGGAATATTACGTTATGTCTTGAAAACCCAAACATTTTACAATACGATCCAAAAATTTGATCATCTACAGTTTAAAATTCCATAGTCTTAAGAAATAAGCATTATTTTATAGTTCGAGTATAGCTTGAAGTACAGTTTATAGTTCAGAAGTGTTATTTTATTGCAAATAAACAATTATGTACATTTAGTTCAGTAATGGCCGATGGGATAATTTCTCCAACCACAAAACAGACCACTACGTCCGTTTTATCGGTTCTGCTGAGCAAATATTTGTTGTTCTGAGATACACATGAATCATCATATTATTTCAGTTTTGTTCGTTCATTATTGGTCATTAAATAACTGAGCGTCAACAAAATTCTTACGCTTCATTTCTGACCAACAAGCGTAATTTGCATTTTTTCTTATTCCTGCTTTTTGGTATTCAGAGTTTTCTCTGTCGAAAGCAAACCCCATTTCGGAAATGATAAGAAAGAGAAAGAGCAAAATAAATGGAAAATTCTAATATATCTTCTTTATATTCATCTCAATTTAAATATATTATTAAATTTAACAAGGTCTTACTCATTTTTTCAACTTACCTAGAGGTAAGACGTAATATTTTAAAACCTTACCATTTCCGAATCATCAATGAAGGAGTCTTCTTCGTAACCATCCGCGAGAGCGCGAAAGTCTGGGATGTTCCAAGACGCTTTCTTGCGCCGAAAACTTGGAAGAAACTGATCATCTTCTCTCATCGACTTCGGTTGGGGCGGCAGAGGAGACACTGTCCGCGTTTCTGCTCTGCTGTTTGAGTCCGCCAAAGCCTGTACACATTTGACCAAAGGGTGTCAATTGATTGCTTCAGGTTTAAAGAGCGGTTCAACAGCTATGTCATGGGCATCCAGGTCGTAATTGAAAACACTAGATTAGACCAGAAAAACCAAACCCGTTGCAGGTTTGCAAACTATCACATTGAATAAAACGACATTAAAATCTAAAATTAAGACAGATCGCACAGACGAGTTAACAGAAGTGAAAGAATTGTAAAAGTAATACAAGGCTTAAAAAAATGGTTGTATAGGGGCAAAGTAACACGCAGCGAAACCACGCTGACCTTTTCTCCCGAACTAAATGGCGAAGTTCACTTTCTCACAGAAAGAAAAGTATGTTTGGACGCGTGGACTCGTTGCCGAGCCCGAAGTATATTGAATACCTCCCCTCCCCCTGTAATGCAACCGTAACACGCAACTGAACCCCCATAAAGAATTTCGTAATGCTTGCGACAACACTCCCCTCTTGTAAATACGGGAAGTGAAAATAAATTGTAGCACAGTAAAAAAAGTATTCATTTTATTTGTGTGTATTAAAATTTATGATAGTTAAAGTCTGAATAAGTTGACGATGCTGTCTGCACATAACAATAAGATTGGGGGAAAATTGTGAGTGAAGGAAGGACGCACAGGCGAGACAATTTCTGTGCACACGCTGCCGTTGTGGAAACAACTTGTTATAACTTTCAATGATTTACGTTTTAAAACAAATTAGACACCATTTGAATGTTTTAATATACGACTCAAAAAGTAATCATTACAAATGATAAAAAATGTAAAAGAAATTAAAAAATGTTGCGTAACTCTAATCGAATACTCCTTGCCTCCGTGTTTCGCTGCGTAACGCTGCCTCAAACCCCAACTTCCTTTTTGGCGTTACGTAATTTGTCGACGACCCCTTGTAGTGCTGCCCAGACAGTGTCAGCTTCGACGATATTAAATTTTACACTCTGTAGCGCGTGTTTCACTGAAAGGTCCGTCAGTTATGACCGTCCGTCTTTCCAATCTCTAGGCTATCACAGGCTAAATGCACTAAGTAACATGACAAATTCCACTTCGATGTTTTTTTTCTTCTTCAAAAATTACCAGTGTAAGTTTTTGAAAACTAATTGGACAAACTGGCGTTAATAATTAAAGAACACACCCTTAAATGCAAGGCACAAGAAAAAATTAGGCTCGTCTAAAAAACTAATATTATCCCGTATATACGTACGAGAAAGTAATAAATGATTGAAACGGTGAAAAAACAAACAACTTGAAATCGGTGACGTCATGTGCTGATTCCAGATCTTTACACTACGAGTGTATTCGTATGTGACCGCCCTCTACACTTAGTTTAAGTGAATATTGTGTTGACTTGACATGTTTGGTGGCCATTGTCCGAAAATGCCTTGAAAGGTTCTCCCATTGACTACGTGATGTCACTGCAGCTGTGTCCGATTAACGGTCGACGCTTTTCAATCATACCCCACCATCGGAATTGACCGTTATGCGTCATCTCTCTCAGCACAAGTGAGCGGGAGGCGCACGCCATTGAGCTATGAATATAATATATGGAGATGTCGTTACCAACATCTTCCATGTTCAGCCAGTGAAGCCAACCCGCCACATTGGTGTGTCCAAATCACCGTCACGTCAATACGTCATTAGCTGCTTGTGACGCAGGATTATGTGGTCCGACTATTACCAATACGTACTAATACTGGTAGTACTAGTACTACTACTAAGTACTACTAGGTAATGCTATCACCATGGACGAGAGCCATATTGCTTTATTGCTTTGGTTTATGCTTCGATGGTGTTAGGGCGTCATTCTGTGCCGTAGTTGTCGACAACTTCATATTTAAATCTTTACTGTATATAAAATACTGAATGGGTTTAAAATGGTGTGATCCACACGACTGAGAAATGTCTACATACGGGGAGCCTAATATCAGTGTTTTCGTTTCTGGCTGTGAAAGAAATGCACATGATTCGAAAGAAGACTAAAGATTCTACCAAATCAGCATTCTAAAGTAAGAAAACTTTTCTAATTGATTTCAGAGCAATAATGTGAAAATAATTTAGAATAAATGACTAGGGGTTGAACATTTTAGTACACCAGTCTGAATAATGAATTTTGAACAGCCAAATGCTAGATGATCTCTTCTAGAAAGTAAACGTAGCCATCTTCCCCCATATCCACGATAAGTTTTAAAGGTCGTTCTTGCATTAAATAAACGCATCTTAAAATAAAATTTCAGCGTGATCCAGGTTATGTTTATTTTACTACCATCGTTTCAACATACTCTGCAGGGTTTATTAAATTATGTTATTAAATACTGTTGGGATTAATAAATGTATTACAAATTCTTAACGAAAATGTTTTAACAATTGCCATTATTTTTCAATAAATTTTTGTAGGTTTGTGCAGCCCATGTTTACCTAGAAGATGCTACAATGAAAACGCGAAGTAACTCCAAGCACCACTAGGAAAAAACAAAATTTAAAGATGACAATGCTATAAATATTTTCGTATTGTTCTAAATATTTATCTTTTCAGCAGTAACATCAAAATGGTATAGAAGAAATATGAGAAAAATTTAAGTATCAAAATTTGCAAGTGTAATTAATGCAAGTCTTGCATTGAAAGCGAATGAAAGGTCAAATTTTGTTCTGAAAATTTTCAGAATTTGATCATTGAACAAGTCAGAGCGTTTCATTGTTACAATTCATTGTGTTGGAGACGAGTAGAAAGCCGAATGTTTATAAATGTTAAAAGAAAAAATTCTACTGTACATTATTGCTTATCATTAGTTTGTTTTGAATATATAATAAACTTGTGAAACTACTTATGTTTGTGTTAATCCTTAAGTTTCCTCACATTTGTTCATTTGGTCACATTCATTACACACATTTGAATATTTATATTACGACATTGGGAGTGCGGACTACGAAACGAAAAATAGACAAATAGTAAATATGATTTAATTTATTTCTTCTATATTTAACATATTTTTGACCATATTTACTTATTTGCGAGTTTAGCCCACTTCATTTTTGTATTTACATATAAAAATTATTTCTGACATCTTACGTCCAAGGCTGATTGACCATATTATGTATTATGTGCATTTCCAACGTCACTGATCTATGAATGGCACATTTTTTGTGATTCACTGGCGTGGTCACTGTATGTGACAAATTTTCTGAATCACCGGGTATTAAATAGCTCATTACAAACTAGTGCTTATTCTCTTTTGCCTTTTGGCAAACGTTTAGTCATCAGAGTAATCTTAAAAATCATACCTGCAAACAAGAATGGTATTGTTTCTCAAAATAATTCGCTTTGAATTTATTAGTTCTCTTTCATTATACATTTGCAGACGGTAGAATTAAGAACCATTGTTTTGACAGTGAGGGCCCGAACACGCGTCCGAGAATGCACGAATGGTGCCGAAGTCTAACAATCTCACCTATGCTGACGCCAGCTGAGACGGTCCGGAAGAGTGCTCGTTTTTCTTTTTTAGTTTCCGTGATGTTTGCGGAAAAAATCCTCTGATATGCGAGAGTGCGTTCTGGCTGTAAATTAATTATAAATAATGTAGTGAACTATTGTCGCGAGGAAAAGAAATAGGATTTATTAATACCATTAGAAACAACTATGGACAATGCTGCAGTACAATAACATTGGTCAACAGCATTTTTGTAACAAAGAAAGTTAATGTACTTAGCCAAGACTTCGATACTGATTTCAAATATGAAATCAGTTTTTGCCTATCGGGTTAGGTGTTCTTGTTACACGCTACTCTCTATTTACGGAGATGCTTGAAAACACTTCATATTGGATAATTTGGAGTCGTTTCATTTAATAATTCTGCAGATAGAATTGATCAGGAACAATCTAAATGTGTATATGGAATTCCTATACATAACACTGAATTCATAAAATTCACCTTTAGGAAAAAAAGGGTTGCCAACATTACTATTAAGTCATGCTCGAACAGAGAATCGCGTTGTGTTCCTTGCCCGGTTGCGTTACAGTATTGAGACATCTGACAGCGTGGAAAGCGGCTTGACTGCGACTGCTTGTGTTCGTGAAGGTTATGGCGTTCTATTAATTCAGTAGAAAGAACTTATCTGTGTAAAAAGCTCGAATACGTGATTTTATATCCGAGGAAATTAAATCGCAAAACCTGAATCTTAATTCTCTGGTAAAGAAGTGTTATAAACTTTACTTCGGGTGTAAGGTAGGCGAACGGGTCTAGAAATGAGCCTCCCACGCTGTGTGTCGTGTGTTACACTCCAGGCACGATCGTTCACAGGTTTGGTGTTCTTCAAAAAATGGGAACAACGGATCACACAACAGACTTACGTCTGCCTGTAAATCATTCCAAGGCGCCACTTCACTTTTCTTAACACTCTTTGTTGTATTTCGTACTACATACATGTTGATCTGTTGTTAATAGAACGTGTCATTTTGCCAGACAAAACATATGGACACATACGCAATATTCGCAGTAATCAACCATTTTGGTGGGCAGGCATCATCACATGAAACCTGAGGATGATACAGAAATTATGATATTAGATCTGGATTGAGAGAAATTATTTTACAGAAACATTGTGTTTTGTTACCGTTTCAGAAAAACGTTTTTTAGACAAGTGTAGTTTGTCATCTACATACACGCTTTTCACAAAAGGCACGGAAAAACCTTATTTCTCCTTCGCACATACCTACTTCACAATAGTTCTGTTTTTGCCCGCTTCTATTCTGCCGTATCCTGCAATGAGCCAAGACCAACTTGTAGTTCTTGAATGAACGCGCCTGTATCCCGCTCACAGCCATCTAGATCACATTTAATCGACCAGTATTTACTGTACACGTGCGATTCTCCTTCAGTATGCGGTGACCTCTTGTAAATATCGCAGCTATGTCTGCAAATGCAAAGTGATCGAGTAATACTAGTATAAACGGATATATTCCATCAACGTAGAGGGATCGAACGTATCAATTGTGCATGAATTATGAAACTCATATTTTAAGAATTCTTAACAATAACTAGTCGCGGCTCACTTATGCACCAAACCGTCTGTCGATGACTAATGCTATTCAATGCCACAGCTAGTGAGGACAACCGAACTTCACACAGGAAATCTACACTGAAGTGTTTCAGATCACGAATATCGGCTTAACTATCAGAAATGACGCAACAATAACTGCAGATGGGGCACTGTGGGATAACGCGTGCAAGGAAATTTTTTTTTGGATGTAATGAATCTTTAATATAATGATGTGAAATTTAATTAACGAATTAAAAAAAATGACTACTATTGCTGTCAGTTGATCAAGATATATTTTTATCAACTCTTAGATTTCGCACTAATCTCCGTAGATCCGATAACATTTGCTCGATTAGGTTTCACGCGTTTAAATTTCACATTTATTACTTTCATGATTCATTAGCTAACTTTAAAAAAGGTTCTTGACATTCGACCTATCAGTCATTGTTTTTGGAGTCCTTTTTTTCCTTTTAACTTTTACTTGATCTTTGGCAATTATTATAAATTTACAGTTTATTGTCCCTGAAAGTTATTTATTGTATCAATTGAACTTAATTTTCTTTAAGATTGTCACCTGCCAAAGTGGCTGCAACTGGCAACGAAACCTATTGAAATTCAACGATGTAACTGAAACAAATTTCGCAAGTTGTGGATTGTCTTTAATTCCAATACCAACCAATTCTATTGAAAATATTTATTGAGAAATGGACAATCACAATGGATGACAAACCATACAATTTTAATACCAAGGATTCGATGATTGGCATTGAACAATAAATCTAGTAATAGTTTCGTGGTTCATTAATGGAAACCTGATAACAATGCAATAATTCTTTCGAGAAATAGCCTTCAAGAAGGCGGTTAGAGGTTCTAACTTCGACAATTGGGAGTTAGAACCACTAATGGAGCTTTAGCTTCTGTTACATGCAAATAGCGTCCATTTGTGTTCATCATGCTAAGGTTAACTCTCTTTGCTCATCACTCACCTTTTCGGCGAGTTCCTGGTAATTCACCATCACACCGCCCCTTTCGTCCGCCAACAGGTCCAACTCCAATCGCAGTGTCCTCTTGCTCGCGCTGGCCATGATGCGCTACGCCGCTACCGCCTTCCTTGCGAAGCACCGCGCCCGAACTCCTGCGCATTGAAGAAACGATAGTGCGGACCGCTTCCGACACACTGTCGCCGGTGGCAAGTTCAGGCAAGCCTTCCCTAGACTCGCTTTCGGCTTCTGAGGGGAGTAGATTCGCGCGCACGCTGACCCACGACACGACATCCAGGAAGGCTGGCTGGCGACGTTGCCACGTTTTTTCTGACATTGAAATGCAATCGCTTTGATAAACCTAATTTATTTCAAAAATGACTTGTTTAGAGTTTTTATACAATGGAACCAAAGTAAATATGTGGTAATGTACTAGAAAACAGTTTGAACATCCCAGTAAAGCTTGTATGTATTAAATATTGTAATATGAATTGCAAAAATCCTAATTGTTGAGAATTCTAATTGTGACGGCTTCACACAATGGTTTCAAGAATATATTTTATCTACTAAATTACACAATGCCTATGGTATAACAAAGAAGATGAGTAAAATAAATTGAATTGTGACATGTAATGAATTGAATTGTAAAAGTATTAAATTTCCAAAATAAAGTTTTGCGATGTTTTACAAATGCTCGATGCTATATTACAAATGAACTCCATTGAGGTCTGGGAATGCAAACTGCCCACCTAAAAAGCGCTTTGTGCCGCGAAAATTTTAAAAAATAGTAAGAGACAGTGTACAAAATATCGATACCAGCGATTTTATTTTGAGAGTCATATAAGCTGTTATTAGATGAAATCATCAATAAAAATGAGTTAAAAGATTAAAAATAATAACATTAGATTAAAAATTAAAACAGGCCTTTATAAATAATTGTTTTGAATATTTCAGTAATTTATTCATATTCGTAGATCTATGAATTGACACAGGAAATAAAATTGTAACCAGAGGTGCACCTTCCGGGAAAGCTTCAGCCCTCCTCAGAAGTAGATGACAAATTCACAATTATATTTTTCACTATAGCTTACAAACGTTTTTCAACATTAAATAAAATTATTATCTATCCTACTTATTTGTACACGTAAATGACTATAAATTAACAAAAAATTACTTTTAAATTAAGCATAATGCAAAATTCTTTAGACAAAAAAATGTCGTCAGGAATTACATCTGTAGTTAACCTGAAGGCATATCTTGAATGCGCCACTAAAGATAATTGTTAACTTTTTAGGGAAATTTTTGTTCTTTTATTCCGACTTGCTTGATGACTAACGAGTCTTCAAATAGGTATATTTTGTATTTTTTAATAACTGATATTGAAACAACATGTACGATACTTTAAAAATCAAACTAATAATCGAATGAAGTGTTGTATAAAAAAGACATTTTGTTCAAAAGTGATAGACAATTGGAAATTGTAGCAATTCTATCGATTTTAAGTAGTAATTTGTTTAAAATATGTGCAATTATTTTTAAAGCATGACACGTACAATTTGCCTGAAATATGCTGTTTATTTTCTTTTCTCAAACCAAGAAGTAATGTACAGAAACTGCAAATATCAAATGTTGAAACAGTTGAAATAGGAAGACAATACTGCACAACAACAGAGAGCATGGTTGTTCACAAACATAATTCGTCTTACGCAAATATAATTAGTTTTAAATGGTCGAAAAATGCATGAAGACGAGGTAAATATTATAGTTCCGTTTTATAGAGTATAGAGGCATTAAGAGTATACGGGCTATTCCATTACGTTGAATATTTTTCCAATTCATACATACCAAATGTGTTTTTGCATACTAGTAAATTATTAATTTTTTTATAATCAAATGTTTTTTACTTCCTAAATGCAATTTCTATAAATAATTTGACTGAAAACACCAATCGAATTTGAAATATTATTAATATTGTGTGTCAAATTACATTTTGGCAGCCATCTTGTGTTGGAGATAAATATTAGAAAAGACCCTTAAAATTAAATCCCTTCTATCGGAAAATGTATTCGTGAGCAGATACTGTATACTTATCTTTATTAAATATATTATTACCAAGCGCAATTACATTATTTTCAAGTGTTATGTGATGTATCATATCACTAGTTTGTAATTACCTTTTGGTAGTTCCTTGTCACATTTTTGAGTGTCGTTTTTGATTATAAAACACGAATGCAAAATTTTTAAAAGTTAAATCCTGATTCAATGAATGCGTGACAATTTCACATTCGCCACCTATCACTTCCTTTTTATCTGCCTATTCAGCTCAAACTCCTGTCATTAATTCCTTGATCAAAATTTACAATGTCTATTGTGAGCAAAAACACGTTGTCTTGGGTATATTGTGCTAACTGCAAACAAAGGAGCGTGAAATGGTTTTGACCGAATATTGTATTGCTTCAAATCTTCAGACTGAGCAGAGAAAGGTGGAAAACTTACACTTATTGAAAATTACTTGGAGCTATTCATCTAATCAGTTGCTTGTTGATGGGCAGTTTTCTCTACTCTATTGCGAAGACTAAGGCAATTTGTAGTAATGAGAATATTACAAATTAATCGAAAAATTAAGGGAAAACGCGAGAGTGGTTTTGTGTCGTCTATTGTTTCGTACTGTCAGATGGGTGTCGGCCTCGCTCTTCATGGGCGATGAATTAATTTTTAATGTACAATGCGGCACAAGGTTATCGCCAAGAACACTCATCTTCTAAATAAAGACAAAATAACACATGAAAATGTTCTTTTATGAGCGCATAAAAATTCAAAATGACAATGTAATTAATTCTTAAAGACAGGAAAACTGAAATTGTGATGTACGTTTCGTACCTACGTCGCAAAAATTGATGTACGGAGTTAAAAGCATGTAATAAATTGGAAACGTTTCTAACAATATAATAAGGAATTTATAATAATACTTAAGATTTCCGAGAGCCTTGGCCTTCATAATTCACGTAAATATTTGGAACTACACAAGTATTTTACACATTAAGGAGTCAAGGATATGTAAATAGTAATGTTTCCGAGTTCATATTGTTTCTATTATATTCAAGTCTGTGAAATTTTGTAATAATGAAACCTGAACAACAGTTGAAATAAATGCGTTAAAATCCATTAGTGATTTATAAGAGATGCGTAGGTGTTTGTTTTGGTAACGTATTTGGGTGGTATTTTGATGCAATAATAAATATTTTCCTTCCAGAATTCGAATCCATCTGCCATATCGTATTTCTTCCAAAGACGAATGCGAAGCCATCAAAAGTGACATTTCATAGCCAAGTCAGATCTTTTTACATTTATGTCAATTTCAATCATCTTTATGCAATAGACAGCGTTTTCGCTATGAATTTTTCCGTATTTATCTTCGAGGGCAAGGTTGATAATAATTAGTATGGTTGAGCAACAGAGTCAACTTTTCTATTATTCCCCATTTCTGCATTAAATGTAAAAGGTGTTTTGAATTAGTATGTTCTGTTTAATTTTAAATCGGTTAACGAAAATTAAATGAAAAAATTTCACAAGTAAATTGAGTGAGTGGAATCGGAACTCGTTGTAGATACACTGTATACTGTAACTGTAACTGTAAATACACACATGTAGTATTTTAGTTAACTTCCTTTTCTATTTGTTCGAAAAATATGTTTGCATTTGAAATGCTATTAACTTAGTAATATTTACAGAACCTATTTTTTAACCTATAACATATCAAAATGAATAACTTTCTCACACCTTTGTGCAAAAAGATGTGAATTCAAAAACTTAATACATACTTTTAGGGTGACCATTCCGATAGATGCTACATTTACGGAGTTACAGCTTAAATTTTCTGAGTAAATACTTGAAAGAGTAAGAATAAAAATTAGGAGAATTTTCTCATTTGTTAACATCTACTCGTATCAGGTTGCTTATGAGAATTTACTCAAATCAATAGTGAACGCAAAATAAAACATTTAAAGTGAATACAACTGTATGTATTCTCAATATTGCGAGAGCGTACTCTCTTCTAGCCACAGTTCTGTTGGAAGGGTCCAAGTTGTTTGTGCACAGGTTACCGCGATTATTATTACGAACTTAGTAAACAAATAAACGTTTGAATCGTGAGAGAAAAATTACGAAAAGCCGCAATACCGACGAAAGAAACTTGAAATTTTTGTTTACATTTTCAGAAAAAAACATCTTCTGCACTTCAAGGATTAGGCGGCTGCTTGTTCCGTCTTCACATATTAAACCATCTGAGTGATCTTCGTTTTATGTTTTGATATTTTCATGTTATAATTTTTACACATTAAATTTAATTGATGGAGTGCCATTTCGAGATCATTTTCCTTTTCATACATAATAACTTGGTCATCAGCAAATAGCAGAGTACTGATATAATTATTTCCGTTCAATCTGATCCCTTGTTTTCCTTTTAATTTCCATTATCTAAGAATATCGTCTATATAGATGTTATACAATATACGGGAAAGGCTCCAACCTTGTTTTAATTCTTGGTTAGTTTTTAATGATTGTGATTTGTGTGAATTTATTGTAATTCGTATCTTTGTATTTTTATATAGACTTTCAGCTACGTTTATTAAATGTTTTAGAAAGCCTCTTCGATCCAGAAAAAAAACAGAGCGATTAAATAAACTCTTTTCGGTGGGGAAATAATCGAGGAAGAGAAGGAGCTACAAATAACGAAACGGCACAGGCGACACGACGTCGTCCACCATGAAAATAACAGCATGTTAACCATTTAATATAATAAATATTCCAATTTTTCTGAGAACATTATTTTCATGTTTGTTTCGTTCGTTTTTTTCGACTTGACGTTTTACATCGTGTACTGTTAACTGAATGAAATTAAACTCGGAAGGAGCTGTACCGATATAGGTACATGGCTCTATTTTCGTTTCCTCTGTTTACTATTGTTGCTGGGGTCACCAATATCGCGCGCCACAAATTTGTGGTAATCGCAAAGACATTGGATAGTATTTCTTAGACACACATGTAGCGCTAGTGTAGGTTTGCAAATCGAAGGCTTCTCCCTGTGCCATATTATAAGCTCTTGCCTTGTCATACAAATACTGCATTATTTATGCATCAATACAAATATGTAATGAGAACTTCATGGTCCTGTGTCCTAGATGCGAAAATGAAGAAG